GGCCACTTGCTACTTTTGCTACAACAAAAGTTTCCCTGTGGCGAAAAGAGAAGCTGCAAGAACTTGCAAACGACGCAATTTCAAAAAAAGTGGCCGAGACGATCAAGCAGTGCGGTATGTCGACATTGTAGAAAAGTACGAGCTGGAGTAGCTGAGTGGACTGGAATTGGCAAAATTCAAGCAGTTGAAGAAAACAGAAAAATTCAATTGGGGGTGGTGAGCGACTGAGGCGATTCCACATATTTAATTTGATTTAAACTTTTTTGATTACACGAATATTTTAACTTTATTAAACTATTACTTTGTATCAAAATATTTTAATATTGATTTGTAAAACTGTTTGTAAACGGCTTAAACGCATTACCATGGATGCTAGAACGATCCTCGCTATGACAGTGCCTCTTCTAAAGTCAAAGTTATCCGAACTAGGTTTGAATACAGCTGGCAGAAAAGGAGCTTTACAGGATCGGTTGTTCGATCATTACGGATTAGTTGTGCCTGACGATGTGGACGGCGATATTGATGAGGATGGTGTGAGTGTAAGTGGTTCTTCCAATTACCAAGAAGCGATTCAACCAGTAGCTCGAGATATACGTTACGCGATATTCAGGACAGTGTTTCATCATTTTCAGGCTCCGAACAAGAAGACGTCAATCACTGGCTGTCTGAATTCGATGACGTTGCAGTTACCGTGGGTTGAAATAATTTGCAGAAATTCATTGATTGGAGCAGCCAAACTTTATATTAAAAGTACAAGTGGAGTTAAGGGTTGGATTGAGCTGAAAAACGCGTTGAAGGAAGAATTCGGTAAAAAACTATGTTCAGCAGAGATACACAAGATTTTGCGCCAAAGGCAAAAACAACCAAAAGAGACATGCATCGAATATCCCTATAGCTTAATGGAGATCAGCAAACCGATAAATCTTGATGAGGAAAGTCTAGTATCGTACTTCGTAGATGGCGTCCCAGATAGCAAGGTCAACAAGGCCGGGTTGTATCGAGCGAAATCCATTAGGGATCTTAAAGACGAAGTATTCATTTACGAAAAGATGAAGGGTAAGGGAAATTCTAAAGACGATTTTAACAGGGAATCGACAGGTAAACAGACTCAGAGCAATTTTTTAAGAAAATACTTCAAGTGTAACAGCGAAGGCCATATTGCTACGGATTGCAAGGGCGAAGTAAAATGTTACAAGTGTAACAAGAAAGGACACATTTCTAAAAATTGCGATGAGAATAAAGCAACTATTTCCATTAAGAAAGAGCTTGCAAACGTGCTGGAGGAGAAAGCTGCGAAGGGACTCATTTACAAAAAGATGAAAGCTGAGGGAGTGACATTCATAGCAATGATTGATTCGGGATGTGACTTGTGTTTAATGAGAGAGGACATTTTCCAAAGTTTTGACGGCTTGAAGCTAAAGTCAAAAGTTAAGCACCTGAGAGGTATCAGCAAGGTCGAACTTGTGACCGTAGGATGCTTCGACGTCGATCTTGAAGCATATGGCGTATGCTTCTCAGTAACTTTCCATATCGCTATCAGAATGAACTCGAGTACGCTGCGATCGTGGGAAACGATGTGCTACAATCAGTCGACGTTATTTTCAGTTCCAACGGCGTCGAGTTCAGGGCAAAAGAGAGAGACTTTGCATTTAAATTTAATGGAATGTGTGTCACGGAGATAGTCGAGGAAAGTTCTGTCCTTGATAAAATTAATTTATCTCACCTAGACGACAGCCAAAAGTTAAAGGTACATCAGCTTGTTTCAGAGTCCAAGCCAATAAAATCGATAGAGTCTCCAGTAAGCATGAGAATCGTTTTGAAAGACGACATTCCTGTATATCAACGCCCAAGACGCACTTCCTACGAGAATAAGTGTTTCATAGAGAAGCAAGTGCAGGAATGGTTGGCAGAGGGAATTATTGTACCCAGCTCCTCAGAGTATGCTTCGCCTGTGGTCCTGGTAGCTAAAAAGGACGGATCCAGACGATTTTGTTGCGACTATCGTCGACTCAATCAAAAAATCAAGAAGATGTTCTCGACAGGTTGCAGGGCTCAAAAATATTCACCACCCTGGACATGATGAACGGATTCTTTCATGTGCCGATTGACGAAGAATCCAGGAAGTTCACAGCGTTCGTGACGCATAACGTTCAGTACGAATTTACTCATCTACCGTTTGGTATCTCCAATTCTCCTGCTCTTTTTGCCGATATGTCAGGGCTACGTTGAGGGAACTCATTCAAGCGCAAAGGATCGTTGTCTACATGGACGATATAATCGTGCCAAGTAAGAACGAATATGAAGGTCTGAAGGCGTTGGAGGAGTTATTGAGCGTAGCTTCGAGGGCTGGATTACGAATCAAATGGGAAAAAGCACAATTTCTCAAGAGCAAGATACATTTCTTAGGCTACACAATTGAGAACGGAACTATAGCACCCATCAACGAGAAGATTAAAGCAGTCGTCAATTTTCCAATTCTTCAAAGCAGACAAGCTTTGCAGCGGTACTTGGGTCTGACGTCATATATGCGGCGCTTCATTAAAGACTACGCCCTCACAGCAAAACCTTTAAGCGACCTTCTTCGGATGAAAAGCAACAAAAAGGATGACTGAAATCTCACGTTGACAGATCAAGGATTACTTTTGTTTAACCTCTTGAAACAGCTACTAGTGTCAGCACCAGTACTCAAACTGTTCGATCCGATAGCAAGTATGGCTTTGGAGGCGTTTTAATGCAGAGAGACTCGGAGGATCAGCAGTTCCATCCTATAGAGTTCATGAGCAGGAAGACAAACGGTTGTGAAGAAAAGTACAGTTCCTACGAGCTCGAGGTTTTAGCAATCGTAAATGCGTTGAAAAAATGGCGAGTTTACCGTGGTAAGCTTTTTACCGTGGTTACCGATTGCAACGATCAAGAAGGATGACCTACCACCAAGAGTTGCCAGATGGGCCATGGCCCTGCAAGAGTTTGAATTTAAGGTAGAACACAGGGCTGTAACCAAGATGAGGCACGTGGATGCATTAAGCCGATAGACATGCTTTATTATTACAGATTCCACAAAGTCGACTGGAACCGAAGAAGTCTAAGAAAAACTGGAAAAGCAAGCAGCAGTTTTTGGCAATCCTCGCCGCATATGATAGTTACTGACAGGGGCACCGCATTTACTTCAGGACTACTTAACGAGTACTGCAACCGTGAAGGAATCCAGCTTCTACACATCACCACAGGCGCACCCAGAGGTAACGGCCAAGTGAAAAGAATTCACAAAATTGTCATCCCGATGCTCAGCAAAATGTGCCAGGAAAACCCTCTGAATTGGTATCGTCACGTAGATAGAGTTTAGCAGATAATTAACAACACTCCACCTCAAACAACTAAGTACAGTCTGTTCCAAATCTTGACCGGATTGAATATGAGAAAGAGGGACGACGAATTCTTGAAACTTTTTGAAAACTTAGAAATAGAAGAACTAAATGACGAACGTGATGAGATACGAAAGAAAGCTTAGCAAAATATAGAGAAAGTCCAGCAAGAAAACAGAAGGAGTTTAACGAAAAAAGGAAGGTAGAAACTGAATATGCTGTAGGTGAATTGGTTGCCATAAAAAGAACACAATATGGAACTGGAATGAAACTCCGTCCAAAATTCTTCGTCCCATATAAAGTAACTAAAAGACTTAATCACGGGCGCTATGAAGTAAAGAAAGAAGGAGGGACCAAATATTACTACGACAGCAGCCGAATATATGAAACAATGGGGTTCATTCAGGGGCGAATGAAGATTCAGGATAGCCGATTGTGGGATATGGATATATTGAGGGATTTACAGCAGCCTATTTAATTTCATATGGGGACACACTGTTCAGAGTTCCACAACCTCATAGCATATTTCATCGGCCAAAAACGCAAAACAGTTCCTATTCCTTTTCATTAAAGAGATCTATATCCATCACCCTCTTTCAATAGAAATTACGCCTTATAAATTTAAGCAAGTCAGTTGATGTGGATATTTTGTCAGAGGAAGTCGTGTTATCCACAGAGTGCAAAAGTCGTGAAGTTTAAATAAAAAACCTTTGTTTCTTTAATTTACTTAACTATACCCGAAGTAAACATTTTAATTTGTAATACCCTACATATACAGATTTTTGTAAGGCCTTTGACTCTGTCAACCACTCTCTTCTTATTCAAATTAAATTAATTAAATTAAGTCAGCTTGGGTTTCCATGTAATCTATTAATTTGGATTTCAAGTTATTTGGTAGGTAGGACTCAGAGGGTTATATTCAAAAACGCTGCTTCAAAATTGATCTACGTGACATCTGGAGTGCCTTAGGGTAGTCATTTGGGCCCTTTGCTGTTTACTTTGTTTATTAACGATTTTCCCTCTATCATAACACGTTCTCGTGTATGTATGCTAATGATGTTAAGCTTTGTTTATCATACAATGATTTAGCGTCGGGTTTCAACTTACAGTCAGATATTGATTGTTTTCAGGGATGGTGTGAGTTCAACCTTTTAAATTTGAACTGCCTTAAATGCAACGTTATGACTTTTTATAGGGGTACTCCTACTTTTATTAGTTACTCCCTTCAAAATACGCCAAACGACCGGTCGGTACAAAAAAAATTTCTTCTTTTTGCCCTTCGTAGCTTAAACTGGGATTAAAACGTAAGGCTACCTTCCTATCAGAGTAGATTAATATTGCTTAATCTTATCTTATCTTTATCGTAGAGCAATGCTTGCTACTAATTTTATGCAATCATAAGTAAAGAAACTTAAACTTATAAATTTATTAGTCCGTTATGGAAAGATAAACAGAGAGTTAGATCTCAAAAGAAAAAAAACAAAACTTATTTACTAATACGATTTAAACATATTGGCGTGACTATAACAGAATAAACAGAATGTTTGTACAATGTACATATCTAGTTTTTATAAATTATTGGGATATATATTTATAATTTTATATATTTTCAAAACAGGTTGTTTTATATAAACTTACCAATTACTTTTTGTGGTGTAAGGGTGTGATCCCGATAAAGAAAAAACCGGCTTTCCAAAATAAGAACTAGTTGTGGGACTTCAACTGCACCAGTTTTTCGAAACGTCGACTCTTCGTGTACGGCATTAACTGTAGCAAAGTTTATACCTTAAACAAATGGTTAGCTAAATAAACACTTTTAAAATAATGTTTTTAATATATAAATACCTAACGGTTCGAGTACATCAATTATCCTTTTGAAGGCGCTGACAATTCGAGTGCACTTAAAACACCAATCGTTGTAAAACATGACAAGGTGCACTTTTTTGGCCCCATTTGATAAAATAGTCTTCTCAAAGTAGTTAGCTGTCACAGATAATTTATGGTACAATACAATGTTTTGGTCAATAACAAATCGTTTTCCGAAAGTATCCTCTTCTTGATCTAATGAAAATCGATTATATCCACTATAATCATATTTTTTTTGTAGGTAATGGGAGCCTTCATCCGTTATCCCATGGCGGTCGAAAATTTGTCGTCGATCCGTGTCACTTAAGAGCTCATAAGCTAATTTAATTTTTATAAACTTTTCGGAAGCGCCATCATTTTGAATTTTATCTGGATGCCTAAAATATTTAAATCACTTTAGTTATAAGGGTATACGCGTTTAGTACGAAAACATTAGAAAACATGAATACATACATATATTATGTAGTTAAGAAAGTATCCCAGATACATTAATTTATATATACGTAGGTTTATCATCCTCGTCTAGCATAAGCTAGCCTGTTTTAATGCAAGCCATCGTCTTAACTCACAACAATCTTAGATTTTAACCAAAAGTTCAAAAAATATAGCTAGTATACACTTGTAAAAAAAACCCTTGTCACTTTTTACTTGGAAACTATGTAACCGACCCCATAAAGTATAAATGCTTTTGATCAAGAACAGTAGCCGAGCCGATATAGCCATGCCCGTCTGTCTGTCCTTCCGCATGAATGCTGTGATCTCGGAAACTATAAAGGCTAGAACTTTTGGGAATAAGCATACAGCAAGTTGCCACGCTCGCTCTAACGCCTTCAAGCCGCCCAAAACTAAGGCTCCAACAGTTTTAATGCTAGAAAAAAATTTTACATGAAATCAAACCGCCCAAAATCGTTCGTATGAACGCAGCCGCCTCGAAAATTATGATACAGTTTAAGTTAGGCATATAGATTCTAGAAATTTCATCAGGATGCCACGCCAAGTATAGCACCCACAAACTGCCAAAAAAAATCAGTGGCACCCACAATGTTATAATAAAAGTTTTAACTTAAATATATTTATTTTGTCAATACCTCCCGATTTCTGGCGCACATGCCGCCCAGTTTTGATGCCTAAATAAATAATTAAACAGATACTCGTATGTATTGGTTTCGTCAATACCCATCGAACGACCTAAAAAAATTTACCACGCCTACGCTAAAACCTGTCTGAAGCCCACATGACGCGCCTTTTAGCTGAGTAACGATTATCTGATAGTTGAGGCACTCAACTATAGCTTTCTTCCTTTCTGTAGCGCCACTTGGCCTACAGCTCCAGCTAGCCTATAGCGCCCCTAACGTCGCTATTAGTAAAAGCAGTCTATTTATCGCATGCGGTGGGAAATCTTGATTGGGTTGCAAAATATAAATTATTATTTGGTGATAACTTTTTATTATTTGGTCCGATTTCAATATAATAGGAATGATAATAGGAACAAACTCTCATTTCAATTTTTGCAAAGTATTAAAAAATGTGCGCGCTAAACGGGTTTTAGTGTTATAGTCGTTTGCTGGTGTTAGAGTGGCACCCTGCTGAAGCAAAGAAAAGTGAGAATCCGAGAACTCAGCGTTCATACATGTCTAGATCGTCTCGGCTAGTGATTCTGATCAAGAATATATTTACTTTGTGGGGTCGGAAACGCTTCATTCTTCCTGTTACATACTTTCCGACGAATCTAGTACACCCTTTTTATTTACGAATAACAGGTATAAAGATACACAGGTTTAGAAATTTCCTATAAAATTTATCCATTTTTTAGTTGTTATCAAGCTGTTTGAGACAACTTACATGATCTTACACTCTAACGCCCACAATCGGCCATAACGCTAAAATCTAATTGGCGCCAACGTTAAAACTATAATTCGATTTTTTTTATCAGTACCTACCTATCAAAAATTAAATCGTACCATTCATTAAAAAGCTTTAACAAAAGATTTTATCGTTAGGTGAAGCCAGTACTTGATATCGGAAACAGTTGCACTTACGCCCACATTTTAAAAGGTATAGATTTAATACTTGATAAATAGATTCTTCTAGCGTCATAGCCTATGCTTGCTTCAGTCAAGTGACACGCCCACTTTAAAAAAATAAACATTTTTGAAGATTTGTTTTTATTTTACTTTATTTTAGTGTAAATTTTACTTTGGTAATTTTTTTAATATAGGCGTGTAAAAAATTGTTTTAATTGAGGTACGGGTATATGATAGTCAAGGCACTGGACAAAAGCGATCTCCCTTGCTTATTTTGAAAAGGCCTCATCGTCCAGCATCGGATTTTAATAAAATAAGTGCACAATAATTCATTTTAACTGCGGTATGTTACGTCGGCATATTCGAGCCCTAGTCCTGAGAAGGACTCCTCTCCCTTTCCAACAGAACGAGAATAAATTTATCATGCCTAAAAAGTGGATAGAATATGGGCATTTCCAGGGGTCTAGAACGTACGTTCGTACGCACTTTGTGCAAATAAAACAAAAAAGAAAATAAACGTTTGCTGAATTTTCCCACAAAAAATACGATGATTATGAAGATTTTTTTTCTCGGTCCCATACCATTCTTACCACACTGCCCCAAAAGCTTAGCTGTCGCTTGATCGTAACAGGATCGGGCTGTGTTTCGACCACATACCCTCGTCAGTCGAAAGTTATCAGGCAGTTATCAGGAGTCCTTCTCAGGACTAGGGCTCGAATTATTGTGCACCTCATTTATTAAAATCCGATGCTGGACGATGAGGCCATCTCAGCTCACACTGCACTATGTGGAATTTGGCCATTTTTTAACAAATAATTTAAAAATTATTTTACAACATTATTTCACTTTCTAAACGTTAATATACAGGATTTTAGTATTTTTGTTAGAATATTAGTAATAAAATTTAAAATTTTTAAATCACTTAAACAATGCGAAATAAAAAACGCCAATATTTTTTAAAGTTAGGTTTGGTCTTTTTTCTTCACAAAATGGAGGGACTACTACTTTAATTCATTTAAATTTTATATACTTGATTCAAGAAACAAAACAGTTAAATGTTGCTTCGTTTTAAAGTTATTAACTAATGCCACAAGAAGTGTACAAATCCCCCATAGTGCACTGGAGGGTGACCAATCTGACCAATCTGTCGAAATTGGCAAATCCCAAGATGTCAGAGGTTCACTCCCAAGTGAGTGCAGTGTGTTGAAATCCTCAATCGTTGTGTTATACAAATAAATATAACCAACCATGACCTTGATTTCGCTAAAACCTACTTAATATAATGTTAATGTTAAATCTTCTATCCATGTAATAAATTTTGAAACTTAATTTCTTAATAATTTTATTTTGGGTGCCTTTCCACATTTATTGCCTAAAAATTTGTATTATACCCGACACTCGTAGAGTAAAGAGGTATACTAGATTAGTCGATCTGGCCATGTCCGTCTGCCTGTACGTCCGTTTGAACGCAGAGATCTCGAAAACTATAAAAGCTAGAATGTTACGATTTTGTGCAGCGCAAGTTTACTTCAGCGACTGCCACCCACAAACGGCTATAAGGCTAAAACCTGTCTGGCGCCTACATTTTTGAAGATTTTTGTTTTCATTATCATTTAGCATAAGCAAATAAATTTGCAATCTTTTGGACCTTTCGCATTGCTGCTTGCAAAATCTTGTTTTTCCTCGCAATCCCCTTAGCTGAGTAACGGGTATTTGATGGTCGATGGCGTCGACTATAGCGTTCCTTCTTGTATTCTTATTTATTTTTGCTCAGGTAGTTGGGTGTTCTTATTCTTAATATATATTCTTAATATTAGTTTAAAAAACATTTCATGAAAAATAAACATCCGGAAAAGGTTCGTATCGAAATATTTAAAACAAATTTGTTTTAAAAGTTTGTCTTGCTTACCTTTCATTTATTTAATAAATTATTTCAATTAACTCTTTCGCATACTTCAATAATTTAATATGGGCTTTTTTGCTTTGCTTGCTAACAAATCGTCGTTATTAAAACGATTTATATTATATTATTATATTATTTGATTGTAAATTAAAACAAGGAAGAACGCTATAGTCGAGTACCTCGACTATCAGATACCCGTTAGGGGCCGTCCATAAACCACGTGGACAAATTTTAATCAAGAGTAATTGACGAGACCAATACTTGTCAGATATAAATTTTTATCTAGCATGAAAATTGTAAGCGCCACAGATTTGGGCGGTTTGTGGGCTCTTATAGTTTCCGAGATCTCAGCGTTCATACGGACAGACGGACAGACGGACAGACGGACAGACGGACATGGCTAGATCGACTCGGCTAGTGATCCTGATCAAAAATATATATACTTTATGGGGTCGGAAACGCTTCCTTCTGCCTGTTACATACTTTCCGACGAATCTAGTATACCCTTTTACTCTACGAGTAACGGGTATAATACGTTTTTCCGTTTTTCCATTTTCTTGTAATTTTAAAATAAGAAATGCTTGTGACATATGTAACAGAAACATTTGAATTGGAATCAATGTTTTCCGTTTGTAAAAAGATCACATCCACATATGTAGACTCGCAAATTGCTTTCGTTTTCGTAAATTATTTTTAAGACTGCCAGTTATGAAATATTGAAAGCAATGAAGCCGGTCGTCCAAAACATTACTTTAATTTGGGCCACCCTGTGATCATATTGCGGAAGACGACCCGGAAAATCTACACGTCGTAATTACCGGGGATTTTAATGCTTAAGCATTGGTGCTCTCCCCGGACAAATGCGAGGGGATAAGCGCTACTCGAGACTTTCGCAGCACTCGACCTAGTGCTGCTAAAGTCCGGTACGAAACCGACGTTCTCTAGAGCCGGTACCAGCTCCATCATTGACCTCACATTTTTTAGCTCTGGTTTGGCCACGGGGTCCAGCTGGGAAGTTAGTGACATCTATAAGGGTAGCGACCATGCAGCAATAATCTGCTCAATAAGGACGAGAAACGGCCTATCACGAGTTCTTAAGACCGTGACAGGGTACAAAACAGAAACGCTAGATGAAAAGATGGTACAGATGTCACCATATCGCTGACTTTACTAAGTGAGTGTGTGATGTAGCCATGCAAAAAAGGGGAAGAACCAAAATGTACCGGAGGCCAGGAAAGACTGGCACAGGGCAAGACGGGCATACCAACGCTCAAGAGCAAGACCCGAATTGGAGCAGCTCCAAATTCATTCCAGGGAAAGAAGATACACACAGCCGTCTCTCTGCTGTCCATCTGTGGGCAGCGCAGGTACGAGACTTAGGATTACTTAGAACCTAAGGAAAAATGTATGAACAGAAACAACTGAACGTTGGTAAAAAAAAATATTAATC